CCTATGGCAGTGTTTGACTGTGATTATCCTTTTTATTTTGGCAAAATGATGTGAACATTCTCTAATTAAAACATATGTGTTATAGGCAGGGGAAATACAGACAGACAGAACATTTACTTTGTGCTTATGCTCATCATCAGCCACTCAGAGAAATACGAGGTTAATTTCCATTTTACTGAAGATGTATAGGTTAGTCAAAGTAACTAGGAATAATGAATCCTTAGTAGTTAGTTTCAGAGCTTAAACAAACCAGCAGTTTTTTCTAAACAGTGGTTGAAAGAGAATAATTTGAATGGGTAGGGGGTGAAGAATAGATTTGGAAAGTGGTAATTTTAATTAACTGGGAATAACTTAAATCCATAGATAATTCATTAAACTCAATTATCTGAAGCTTCATAACAGATGGTTTAGTTCTACGTGCTGAGTGATGCTAAAAGATTTTTCCAATGTCCCAAAGCTACAACCTACGTGAAACTTTTTTTAATGTAAATAATATCCTAGTAACAAAGAAGGAAAATAACTCCAAGGACTGTGTGTAAGAAGTTTGATCTGTCGTGACAGCAATGGCATTTCACATTTGACATGCTGCAGAAATCTTTGAAAAGATTAACAGGCCGAGGGTTAGCAGACTTACCCGCAACCTCAGAGCCAATGTACCTGGATAGTTTCATGAAGTCTGTTGTGGTGGAAACACTGAGCATCACACTGACCACATAATTGTGGCATGCAATCCTAAGAATGTATGCAGCCAACTGTAAATGAAACCAAAAGAAATATATGTTGCAATACTTTACACCATTTAAATATCCACTTCTTGCCAAGTTGTGAGCAAGGCAGGCATTGTCACTGCTTGGGGGAGGGGTTGTGGTGTCGCTCTCTTTAGTTCAACAATCAAGAAATGCAAGAAAAGATGCTAGTCCATTAGCCCTTAAATGAAATTCAACAATGTGAGTTTGTGTGAGCTCCTTTCAATATTTTCTTTTGCTTTACAAAGAAAGATTGAGTCCCCCCCCCCCCC